TTATTGCTTACGCGTAAATAAAGTAGTAAATTCAATGTTCCTTGATTCATGACACCTTTCTTCAAATAAGTAATGGATAGCATGTTGAATTTCTTACTCATGATAATGAATTTTCTATTTAAAAAAAAAATTCATATCAAGATTGTAATCTTAGGAAGAAAAATATTAAGAAGATCTAGGAAAAAATTGCTTGTATGAGTTGATCACCATTTGAAAACATGGATTGTAATCGTAGCGCATTTGATCATGACGCTGCTGAAGAAATACATGTTGGGGTGATTATTTAATAATTTGATTTTCCTTAAATGAACTACAACTCAACAGATAGAGAAGGTGTGTCTTGATTGTTGTACTCTACATCAGAATGGCCCATCAGCATCACTTGACCTAGCCATGTTTCTAAGTCTTCTGCCTTGTCTCACCGACCTGACCATAAAGGGCTCTGGCGATCAATACGAACGTCATTCTCTTAATGATGATTTCTACCACGAACTTGCTCGTCTGGCTTCATCCTCAAAGGTGATTTACAATGTGTTTTAACGTTTCACATGGAATAAGAGACTTTTGTTTATACAGTTGCCTTGAATGATGGATAACGAATGTGTCAACTACTTTGTACCACAATTTACGAGAAAACGAAATCTAATTACGGCAGTTGGTACTCAGAAATTCATCGAAACGTGTTATTGCCGTCATCTGTCTGATACTGATAGTTTCATATTTAAATCAACCTGTAAATGACTGTAGTGTTCAATGAAATTACAGTTTCTATATGCTTCCCCGAACAGACTGCTATAATTCATGAAACTATGGGTTCAACATTATTTACACGGAGAGTAAATGTTCCTTGATTCATTACACCTTTCATCAAATAGGAAATGGATAGCATGTTGAACTTCTTATTCATAATAATGTAATTTTGTCTTTAGTCATAACAAGATTGTAATCTTAGGAAGGAAAAATATTAAGAAGATGATCTAGGAAAAAATTGCTTGTATATGTTGATCACCATTTAAAAACATGGATTGTAATCGTACCGCATTTGATCATTAAGGTGTTGAAGAAAAACATGTTGGGGTGATTATTTAATAATTTGATTTTCCTTAAATGAACTACAACTCAACAGATAAAGAAGGTGTGTATTGAGGGTCGTGATCTACTTGGGAATGACCCATCAGCATCACGTAACCTAGCCAAGTTTCTATGTCTTCTGCCTTGTCTCACCGACCTGACCATAAAGGACTCTGGCAATCAATACGGACGTCCTTCTCTTAATGATGATTTCTACCATGAACTTGCTCGTCTTGCTTCATCCTCAAAGGTGATTTACAATGTGTTTTAACGTTTCACATGAAATAAGAGAATTTTGGTCATACAATTGCCTGGAATGATGAATAACGAAAGTGTCAATTATTTTGTACCACAATTAACGAGAAAACGAAATAATCTATTTCTGGAAGTTGGTATAAAAAAAGGTAATCGAAACTGGTAGTTTCATATTTAAATCAACCTAGAATGACCATGGTGTTCAATGAAATTACAGCTCCTACATACATCCCTGAACAGACTGCTTTAATTCACGAAACTATGGGTTAAAATATTTTTGACACGGAGAGTAAAATGTTTATCGATTTTTTACACTTTTTTATAAATATTTGTGATAATTATTATGCCTACGTATTGTAAAACAAAGTATTTCTGTACCACGTTAATGAAGTTTTCTAATAAATACAAACACTAATATGCAATTACTCTCATTCATTTGAAATAGCATCAGGAAACTATTTATTAGTGAAATTAAACACAATCCGATGTACCTTTAATTACATGATGATTATTATTATTATGTTAGTGTCATACCATAGGCTTTACGATCATTAAGATGCTTCAGAACAAAACAAAAATAACATGCTTTTTTCATCGTGCAAATAGTTATTGCTTATCGTGCAAATAGTTATTGCTTACGCGTAAACAAATTAGTAAATCCAATGTTCCTTGATTCATTACACCTTTCTTCAAATAAGCAATGAATAGCTTGTTGAACTTCTTATTCATGATAATGATAATATTCTTTTTAGTCATAACAAGATTGTAATCTTAGGAAGAAAAAACTTAAGAAGATGATCTAGGAAGAAAAAAGTGCGTGTATGTGTCGAACATCTTTGAAACTCATGGATTGCAATCGAAACGCATTTGATCATGAAGGTGCTGACGAAAAAACATGTTTTGGGTGATTATTTAATACTTGAATTTACCTTATATGAATTACAACTCCACAGATAGAGAAGTTGTGTATTGGTGGTTTGCATCTATATGGGAATGACCCAACAGCATCACGTGACCTAGCGAAGTTTGTATGTCGTCTGCCTTGTCTCACCGACCTGACTATAAAGGAGTCTGACAGTGATATTTACTTCGATGATGATTTCTACCATCAAATTGCTCGCCTGGCTTCATCCTCAAAGGTGATTTACAATGTGTTTTGACGTTTTACATGGAAATAGACACTTTTGGTCAAACAGCTGCCTGGAATGATGAATAACGAAAATGTAAATTTCTTTGTACCACAATTTACGAGAAAACGAAATAAATCTAATTCTGGCAGTTAGTATTTTTTTTTAATCATTGAAAGGTGTTATTGCCGTCATCTGACTGATAGTTTTATATTTAAATCAACCTGTATTGACCATGGTGTCAATGCAATCACAGTTCCTATATCCATCCCCGATTTTTTTTTTTTTGGGGGGGGGGGAGTTAAAACATTATCTATATATGGAGGGTAAATGTTTATCGATTCATTACACTTTTCTTTAAATATTTGTAACAAATTATGCTGTATTGTAAAAACAAATTATTCCTGTACCACGTTAATGAATTTATGTGATAAATACAAACACAAATAAACAATTACTCTCGTTCATTTGAAATAGGATCAGGAAACCCATTTTTAGTAAAATTGAACACAATTCGATCTACTGTTAATTTCATGATGATTATTATTATTATGTTAGTGTCATATTCTAGACTGTCATTATGTCAACGAGCTTGTCGATGCTGTCAATGGCCAGAGCGTTCCACTCGTCGGTCAGAGCCTGAGCTAACTGCTGTGGAGTTGATGGCTCGACCGAGTACTTCCTAGGCACGTTCAATAGGGTTTATATCAGGGGAATAGGCATGCCATGGCAACTGCTGTACCCCCTCGGCGTCAAGAAATGTTCTCACTTCAGCTGCTCTGTGTGGCCTAGCCGCAGTTGTTATTATGCAGCAGGAAATTATTTCCATTGACCCTTCTTGCGAATGGGAGGCAGTAGTTCTCCAGGATGTCCTGGTACACGACGGCGTTGGCGTTTCCATCCGGAACTACCAGTGGCGTTTTTCCGCCATAGTGGATTCCGACCCATACCATCACGGACCGCCACCACCTTGAGTCGTTTCCTAAACGCAGGCATCTCTCAGGTTCTCTTCAGGTCGACGCACCCATTGCCTTCCATCTGTACTCTCAAGGACGTAGCGGCTGTCATCCATGAAGATGGCATGTCGCCAGTGACTCCTAGCTGTAGTCGTCTGTGCTCCTTAGCCCATTGAAGTCGGGCAACTCCGTGTCTAACGGTCAGGCGTGGGCACTTGGTCATTTGTCTTGCCCGATAACGAAGTTAAAGCAGTCTCCAATTAACAGTTCGACAGGAGGGATTCCATGGGGTCTTCTCCAGAGGCGATGAAGACGACTTGTTAGGATTATCCTGTTCTGATGGCACAGAGTAAGCAACCGGCGATCATCTTGTGCGCTCATCAATCATGGTCGCCCTGGAGATTGAATTTAAGGATTTTAGAGACCGTGCTCTGCGATATCCAAAAGAAACCAGCGATATCGATTTGTTTGTGCCCTTACTATTGGAGCGTAAGCACTCTTCGGCGTATAGCAGATTGCGTTCGACGAGGCATAGCTTAGAGAACCTCTGTACCAAATTTGGTTCAAAATGATACAGCCAACTCTGAAAGAAGTAAACCTGTTGCACATAAACCTATAAGATGGAAATGGACAAAATATCGAGGCGCGATACCTGTTAATATAGCTTCAAACAAAAGGCTCGCGGAATGCATTATTATGCAACTATTAATTAGTGGAGACACATTTTACAATTAAAAACATTGGCATATAATGATTACTGAAGCCTGAAAATGGAACAATGTACGGGGTTTTATTCAAAAAAATGTATATTCCAAATTTATGATCAATAGTGTACATGCAAAAGTTAAAAACGTGGTCACTACAAGGGCATAGGTTAAAGGTAAGAAACAGACAGAAAGTCCTGAATCTTTTTTTACATACCCCCAAAATGCTAAAAAATTCTTGTCTCAGCGTTAAATTCAAAGCATTGAAGCAATTCAAGCTAAACTTAGACGAAGTATGTATGAACTTACACGGGTAAACTGATTAGATTTCGGGTGTAAGAGGTCATGAAGGTGAAAGATCATGAGAGCACAGGATCTTGAAAGTCTTTAAAATCCTCCCAAATAGTTATTACTGTGATAATTGATCTAAAATCAAACCAATGCCAACCAAAATGAGCTCAAGTTTGTTTCATATGGGGAGGGGGACTACAACATGAGGACAGAATATAATTTCTGAAAACTTGTTTGGAACAACTTATGTTTGAGAAATCACACGTATAAGGTTGCTGGGTTGTTTTTTTTTGGGGGGGGCGGGGGATTTTTCCGTCATCTTGAATAAAATTATAATGGTATCATTTACAACTGTACATGTACACTTGTTTATTTATTTCCTTGTATAACGGGGAAAAAATATGGGGTTAAAAAAAATGATTGCATTTAATGGTAAAATGGACGAGGTTGGCCGATTCCATAATGTGCCAAATTATTTCTCTCTTTCCCCCTCATTTTTGCGGGTAATCACATTTTATTTATTTCCTTTGTTCTCTAAACTCTTTGTACGGTTGTAATGTCAGAGTCCTTACTTCAGGGAAAAGAAGCATACCGGGATGCTAGAGAATTACTGGACTACAAGGGAATGTGATACGCCTTCAACCAGTGGTCCTGATATGCCTTCAACCAGTGGTCCTGATATGCCTTCAACCAGTGGTTGTGATATGCCTTCAACCAGTGGTTGTGATATGCCTTCAACTAGTGGTTGTGATATGCCTTCAACCAGTGGTTGTGGTATGCCTTCAAGCAGTGGTTGTGGTATGCCTTCAACCAGTGGTCCTGGTATGCCTGCAAGCAGTGGTCCTGATATGCCTTCAACCAGTGGTCCTGATATGTCTTCAACCAGTGGTTCTGATATGCCTTTAACCAGTGATCCTGATATGCCTTCAACCAGTGGTCCTGATATGCCTTCAACCAGTGGTCCTGATATGCCTTCAACCAGTGGTCCTGATATGCCTTTAACCAGTGATCCTGATATGCCTTCAACCAGTGGTCCTGATATGCCTTCAACCAGTGGTCCTGGTATGCCTTCAACCAGTGGTCCTGATATGCCTTCAACCAGTGGTTATGATATGCCTTCAACCACTTTTGGTTGTGATATGCCTTCAACCAGTGGTCCTGATATGCCTTTAACCAGTGATCCTGATATGCCTTCAACCAGTGGTCCTGATATGCCTTCAACCAGTGGTCCTGATATGCCTTCAACCAGTGGTTATGATATGCCTTCAACCACTTTTGGTTGTGATATGCCTTCAACCAGTGGTTGCAGTGGTTGCAGTCGGGGCTGTGGATGCAGTGGGTGCAGGTTTGTACATCACACTATTGATAATATTGATTATTGAAGAGCGATAAATAGATACATATAGAAAGTACCACAGAGCTTTCAATATTACGGCATGCACAGCAAAATCACATTTTATTACTGAGGAAAAAAGTACATGTATGTTTTATGGTATCATTTGAAAGAGGTAAGACAGGTTCTCTTCTTATAGGCCCAAGTAATATATCAATAAAGATTAATGACAAAAATAAGTGATGGTAAGACCTGGTTATATCTTACATATTTTTCTTTGGGTTAACGAAATAGGAATCATAGCATGGTCATATTTAGATTAAGTATAAGAAATTCCCCAAACCCTCCCAAAGGAAGCAATATGGTATTGTAAAGTGAGTCAACATAAAAAGATAGCACCCTTGCTAATCATACTTGCATACACGATTGTGAAGTACTTTTCAAATAAAAAATGTTGTTATCAATTTTCAAAGCTTTTCTATAATTCATTTTTATATTCGCCATTTGAAGTTCTTTAACAACTGGATATCGTACCAATTTTGTTTCACTCATTTTTAATGCAGCGTCAGTTGAGGGTGAACAAAGTCCGGAACATCGGTAAGTATCATAATATAAAATTACTTTTTTTTTCTTTCTCTCATCTCCCCAACTCATCCTATATATCCCCATATCTCTCTCTCTCTCTCTCTCTCTCATCCTGTCCTACTGTCATCCTGCCCCACTCTCTCTCTCTCTCTCTCTCCCTCATTCTCATCCTATATATCCCCATATCTCTCTCTCTCTCATCCTGTCCTACTGTCATCCTGCCCCACTCTCTCTCTCTCTCCCTCATTCTCATCCTATATATCCCCATATCTCTCTCTCTCATCCTGTCCTACTGTCATCCTGCCCCACTCTCTCTCTCCTTTTCTCTCCCCCAACTCATCCTATATATCCCCATATCTCTCTCTCTCATCCTGTCCTACTGTCATCCTGCCCCACTCTCTCTCTCTCTCTCTCTCTCTTTTTCTCTCCCTCATTCTCATCCTATATGTCCCCATATCTCTCTCTAACATCTTGTCCTTCTCTCTTACTCTCCCGCTCTTTCCCTTTCTACCTTCATCTCTTGCTATTGCTTTTTTACATTTCTTTTAACTTTATTATTGTCCGTTTGGAGGCAGAACGGCAATAACTGAGAATACTTTAACACATTTTTACGCATTCTTTATACTCCCCTATTGTCTTAAGGCGATTACTTGTATTGCTTTCAAATGTAATTCGATGAAAGTATACCATGTTTTAAAAGTCATCAGGTATCCTTTAGATATAATCTTGCCATGGATGTAGAGGATGCATACTCTGCATTGTACAGTATGCACAAGTCAGAGGTTAAAATATTAGTAAACCATGTTTACATCCCAGTTTTACCCCCTCTTGATCTCCTCATCCCTTCTCCAATCCCTAAACTATCTTTGTTTAAAATGTTTCCAACTCTCTAACAATATTATCTCAATGTCATCTCTCTCTCTCTCTCCCTCTCTCCCTCTCTCCCTCTCTCACTCTCTCTCGTTTCTAATCTTTTTCAATCTCCCCATGCCCCCGTCCCCCGCCTCTCTCTCTCCATCTATATCTGTTTCCGTCTGTCTTTCTGTCTCTCCCTCCATATCTCTCTCTCTATCTATCTTCTTCTGTCTCTCTCTCTCCCTATCTTTTTCCCTTTCTTTTTCCCTTTCTATTACATAGCAGATGCATTCACAGCAACGACGACGATGATGATGATGGTGATAGACTTGATAGAACAACGTCATGGAATACGACGAGCTAAGACAGATCGTCATCCTACCTCACCTTAGGATCCCTAGGATGAAATGAAATAGCATTAGTAAATAACATCCAGAGATTGATTTGGCGGTAGAGAGAATTTATCGTACACACACTGATGGAATATTTAATTTTAATTGAATTTTACTAGTATTACCTACTTTGATTTCTTGCCATTCTACCTCAAAGTAGCTGTTACATATAAGTGCAATCCTAATTTACTATGCAAATACTTACAAGTACTTAACTGTTTCAATTATGCATTAGAAATCATCAGGTGTATGTTTTGATGAATTTGCTGTTAGCCTAAACTTGTATAGTTCTTATGATATTATTGCTTTCTTTTGAAATACAATAATGCCGCATTCATCTTAACAATATTACCTCTTGGATATATGCATGTGTTTACATCTTCTGTATATATTGGTTACATTCTATGTCACTTTTTATTTGTAAATGGATGGACAGATGTTAATATCACATTAACTGAATATGAAATGCAGTACATGTAATGTTTAATATTCGCTTTAGGCTATGGGCATATTTGCGTTTTTGTTTGTGTAGCCATTGCACGAAAATCCACAGGCAAGACATTAATATATATGTGCCTCTCTACACCCAGGTGTACGAAATGTTTACAGCTGGTATGGAGAAGTCTGAATGTCATATTTTCTTATAACGTTTACTAGCCCGGCTAAAGGTGGGGGTAATGATAATATTGTACTGTGCTTAACACCATAATCTCTGTATAAATACTATAATGTGTTCACCTATTACAAACATTATTTATTTTTCCATTATTATTTTGTATTTTGTATATACCATGATGGTTGCAAGGTATTATTAGCCTTTGATAAGGTAAATGTTTCATGTATGCCATGAGTAATTGAATGTCAAGTGTCCCAAGACGAAAATCCAATTGAATCCCCATTGAATGTCCCCATTGAATCCCAATTGAATACCAATTGGCAATTTGGAGTACATGGAAAGTGAAACAATGGGTACCTATTGAAATATTTTGAAAATATGGTATTCAATTGGGATTCAATGGGGATTCAATCGGAAATCGATCCAGGTAGAAGAACCAGTGATAAACTGATACTTCATAATCGATATTGGCAACTGTCTACCAATTAGGTATATTCTATTCTCAATTGTATAAACCTCATCACGTAGATCATTTGAAGTGTATTCAAGAGTAACATTTAAAGTGACACCGGCTCGTACACATATACATACTGTTTCTTGGTTAGTAATCATATAATCAATATATCTATTGCTAAAACGTGAATGTAATTGTAACATGATCAGACAAAATAATCTATTGGTTAATAATTGCCGAAGGAAAATAGAAATCACAAAAATGATGTGCATTGTCTTAATTTGCTTAACAAATCATGATAAATGTATTTTTCTGTCACACGTGTAAAGTAATAATAAATATATGCATTAGATGCATAGATCTGTTGGTTCCAATTGGTTCCAATTGGTTTCAATTGGTCTCAATAGGTTTTAAAAGGTTTCAATGGGACTTTAATAGGACTTCAGATGGTTTCAATTGGTCCAGATTGTCCCTATTGGACCAATTGGCCCCATTGGCCTAGGCCCCATTAGACTTTAATGGGACCCCAATTGGTTTCTATTGGTCCAATTGGTGTCTATTTAACATTGATCATATTGGTTTCAATTGGTTTCAATTGGCCCTATTAGATTTTAATGGGATTTCAATTGGACCAATCGGCCCCATTAGACTTTAAAAGGTTTCCAATTGGTTTCAATTGGACCAATTGAAGTCCAACTTCAGGCCAATTGGTCCAATTGAAACCAATTCGGGTCCCATTAAAGTCCAATGGGGCCTAGACCAATGGGGCCAATGGGTCCAATTGGTCCAATAGGGACAATCTGGACCAATTGAAACCATCTGAACTCTGAAGTCCTATTAAAGTCCCATTGAAACCTATTAAAACCTATTGAGGCCAATATTGAAACCAATTGGAACCAATTGAAACCAATTGAAAATTCAATTGGTGTTCAATTGGTTTCAATTGGATTTTCGTCTTGCGGTATTATTGTACTTGTGGCATTACAAACCATATACACTGTACATATATAATTTGTTCGTGTACGGATCATCAATACTTCTTGTATCTTTTTGTATTTTCTCGAACTCCAAGCAGAAAAAAAACTATTCTCCTTTAGAGACAATGTATATCACATGTATAGTGCAATTGCGAACGATAACCAGTTCAGTATTTGTTACACAAGATTATTATATACGTATACATATATATTTATATTTTAATATTTAAAGTCATTTTTTATTTCAGTGGAAGATTATCAAAAAGCTAAATGGATAATATACCCAGGTCCTCTGTCACAAGAAGAGAAATAGGCCTTCTCCCTCCTTAACTGACAAAAGGCAGGGTTACGAATTGCTAAGTAATTTTCACAATGTTATCAAGGCAGAAATAAAGTTAGCTGTGATATGTATGAGTTTTTCATGCTATTGCGGAAGTGAACTCTAAATGTTCTTTGGACATATCAGAGGAGTGCACATAATTTAATAAAGGGAAAAGGATTTAATGAAAAATAAAGAGAAAGAATATGGAAAGTAGATCGATGAAACTTTGTAAAGGTCGGACAACGAACAATAACGTGTTAAATTTATTCCAACTTTTGTTAGCTGATTTATAAAGTGCTTTCTAATTACCAACCAAAAGTCTGCAAGCGTTTGTTTAATGTTATACATGTATCTTACATATTTCGTTCAACGATTGCCATTAGACCATGCAGTTATAAAACGATAGATAGATTTATATATACGAGTACCTACTTACAGTCAAACCTAACTATCAAGATATCCCTTTGGAAACATAAAAAGTGGCCTCTGTAGGCAGTTGGCCTCTCTAGATAGGTTCTACAACGAACATGTCTTTATCGAGGAAGACAAAAGATTTGACCGCTATCCACAGGTGGCCTTAAAACAGAGGTGGCCACCCAGGCAGGTTTGATCGTTTATAGATAGATAGATAAATTAATGGTTCATTGATTAACAAATGCATTGCGGCTAAGCCAAAATGAGATAAATTTACAATGGAAGCGTGCACACAAAGAAGGTAATCGGCATTGACAAAATTAACGAATAGCATGTTGTACCATTTCTCAAGTTGTTTTGTACAAACTAATATAGCATGTGATTCGATATTTTGTACACGACAATGTTAAAAAGAGATAGCAATCTAAAAACTCAATACATGTACATAGCTGATATTTTGTATTCATAGATCTGTAATAGGAATTGGAAATTGTACATGACAATGTTACAAAAATATAACAATGTAAAAATATAACAATGTAAAAATCAATAGTAATAGTTGATGTATTCATATAAGAGTTATTTTAAGTGATTGGTGTTGAGGATTTAGTATTATGTCATGACAAAGATATCAAAATCTACAAGCAATATGTAATATCTTTATTCATAGATCTGTTACAGGTATTGGAATTGTGATTAATGTGAATGAGTGTGTCCTACAATTTATGTCATGACAATGTTAAAAAAAGATATCAAAATCTAAAAGCAATGGTTGATATCTTTCTTCATTAATCAGTTATAGCAATTGGAATTGTGATTGATTTAAATTAGTCCGTTTCATATACAGAGCTTGAAGAATGTGATGGATGTATTATTATGTTTTATGACAAGCGTGACTTTAATGCGCTGTGTAACTTTAATGAGCGGTGTAACACTTTACATTGAATAATTATATTTGTTTGTACTTTTTTTAAATAAAATCACTGTGTTATTCATTCCATTGATGCCAAACATTGCATACGTTTCACTGTTCTTACTGCATTTTTTAAGGGTCAGGCCATAGGTATTTGGCCTGGAGTGATCAATCAAACACACATTGGCAACTGTGTGGCGTATCTTGGGATCTCCCCTCCCTTTTGCTCTGTACAGTAAACTTTCATATTCTTCTTTATTGATGACGGAATAGATTTGTTCCATATAGGGGTAGTATAAAAACAGATTTGCAATAATGATATTGATAATGATTGAAAGTTTTCTTGAGGGAAAATTAAAACAATTAATTAGTACGTACAGAGCAAATGGGAGTTAGGGATTTCACAAGATACCTCAAAGAGCGTGTTAGCACAATTACCCCCTGGACAATAACCCCCGGAAAATTACCCCCTCTTCATCAAAGGGGAAGTCCATCCTGATAATAAGTTTGTTTTAATAAAAGCTGATTTTTTTTTTCGGGTGGTAATTGTCCTAGGGGTAAGGGGCCGATTGTCCAAGGGGGTAATTTTCCAGGTGTAATTGTCCTGCTGGTAATTGGCTGGGGTGACTGTCCAAGCGGGTAATTGGCTTCCTCTTTCTTTATATTCTATACCAAACATTTTCCCTTGCTCTCCCTCCCCCTTTCTTTATATTCTATATCTAAATTTTCCCATTCTCTCCCTCTCTCTTTCTTTATATTCTATATCTAAATTTTCTCTTTCTCTCCCTCCCTCTTTCTTACATTCTAGATCTAAATTTTCCCTTTCTCTCCCTTCCTCTTTCTTTATACTCCTCTCCCTCCCCCTTTCTTTATATTCTATATCTAAATTTTCGCTTTCTCTCCCTCCCTCTTTCTTTATATTCTATATCTAAATTTTTGCTTTATTATGTACATTTACACATATATACATGTTATATCCATGGACATGTATATGTATATACAGGTTTGTACCAATAAATGAAATTATATTTTGTATTTTGGTTGTAAAAGTGAGGGAAAAATTGAAGAAGTGCCAATTAAAGCACATAAATGTGACTAGTTTATGTGAACGTGGAAAATTATGATACAACACATGAATGATTCATCAAATGACTGAGAAAATTAACATTTTTTGTTCATATTTAGCATATATTTATTTGCACATCAATAAACCTTATACACTGCTGGATAGTAGCAAGGAAGTAGTACTTGCAAAATTTGTACAAAATTAATGCTTTCCTATCTCTCAACAAGTACGGTCAACCCTGCTTCAGCAACCACCTGTATAAAAAGACCACCTGCCTATAAAGACCACTGTTTTCCTTCAGCGTAAAATATTGACCAAGCATATTTTTACTCGCGCGTACAATTTAAGAATGCAATGTTTGCATGTGAAGTCATCAATAGATACGCGTAATGTGACACACACGATGCTTTCAAATGAGTAAAATTTCCTAGACAAATAATTGCATTTTGATAGGCATATTTTGTTAAAATACCTCTCTTTAAGAACTGACACAGGGGAAACGGTATATAAAACAAATATTGAAAGCTTACTTTCCGAGTCACGGTTAAAACTATAGCACCTCTGTGATCTTGAGACTGCGCTCTGCTCCTCCACTTGTCTCAGGAGACAGTACAGTTTCGAGATCACCTTGGGCAATAGTTTTAACCGTGCCCCTCAAAGTAGTCAATATTTTTATACTATCATATGTTATAAATATGTTACAGAAGTTAAACTCACATCTCATAATCTATATCCAGTGAAAGAAAACATATAAATGTCATAAATAATATTTGACAGTCATAATATTCAGGCTCGACTTTAAAAAACAAGATTACAAAATTTGAAAGCTCCGTCATGTACAATAAAGACATTTGTAACAGAAGCTCTTTTCACGTTTTGAAAGAATTTGGACGGAAGTTCACTTTATACAGAATTAAATATTCAGTTACATCTATACTAGAAAGTAGAACAATTTGTTAATGGCAGGGCACTTCATAACTATATCTGTATGATTTTCCCATATTATCTCTCTCGTGACATAAATAATTTAGCTTCATTAAAATATTTCTCCTCAAAATTATTCAATCTCTCTTAACATCTCTCTCTCTCTCTCTCTCTCTCTCAATCTCTCCGACTCTGTCTATCTCTCTCTCTCCCTTTCCTTCTCCCTCAAATAAATCAAATATACTATTACTAAAAATTCCAACTACTTTCAGTTTTACATACAAATTGAAAATGCCATAATCAGTTTGACACCTATAGAGGGCAGAGTTCCATTTGACTTTCAGGTAAAGAATTCACCTTATGTTAGGAATGCTGTCATAGTCATATGGACTGTTATAAATGTATCTCTGAACATGTACCTCAATCTTTACACAGCATAACCATCAATATTGCAAGGATTTTTTTATCACTCAAATTTTTTATTTTTTTTCTTTCTTTTCATTATAAAAAAGTTCTTTGTAATACATGCATCACAATGTGCATCACAAAGAATTGTATAGGTTATCATTGGAATGTATACCGGTATGCACTGAAATTCTGAAAATGACAAGTAATAATAATAAATAATAATAATAATAATAATAAATAACTTAGACAAAACTAGTTACATGCTATTTAGTAATAAGGTTGCAACTTTGCCTAATTGTATAATTTTTGATGGTACTGTCATTCAAAGGGCCCGAACAACTAAATTTTTGGGGCTAGTTATTGATGAAAAACTATCTTGGAAAGCGCACACTGACAATATCTGCAAAATCATTGCTCGCAACACTGGTATCCTTAGTAAATTAAGACACTTCCTACCCCATTATATTATGTTATCCTTGTATTCTACGCTTATTCTTCCTTACTTGAATTACGGACTTATTGCCTGGGGCAGTGCAGCAACTTCCCAAATTAATAGACTCTTTATATTACAAAAAAGAGCGATTCGTATTATTAATAATGCAGATTTCCGGGCACACACGAATAATCTTTTTCTGAATAATAACATTTTGAAAATTAAAGACTTGTATATTTTTCAGCTTGGACAGTTAATGTACAAGCTCAACACTAAACAATTACCTTTGCCTTTTAATGATATGTTCGTAAGAAATGATTCGATTCATAGTTACCTCACTCGCCAGGCGAGCTCTTTTCATTTACCATTAAATAGAACATCTTTTGCACAAAAGACATTTGTTTTTACAGGTCCAAAACTGTGGAATTCTCTTTCAAATGATATTATACAGTGTAATTCGATACAAATTTTCAAAAGGAGACTTAAAAGCTTTCTTCTGAATAGTTACTAGGCTATTGCATTCCCCAATCAAATATAATTTGTAGTGTGACTTTATGCAACTTTGATTATTTCTCTTTATAAACATGTATGTATTTATCAATGTTTTGCGTTTAAAAGTTATTTTTTTTCTTTTGTATTACTGAATCAGTTACTGTTATTATTGTTGTTTTTGTTTTGTTTTCTCATAAAATGATAATTCATGATAATTACTTTTACAGGGGGGCTTACACCCTACAAGCTCTGCTTTTTAGTCGGCCCTCCTTCCCTTTCAATTTCATGTTTATTTTTTAATGTATTGTATTGTGCAAATTGATCTATATGTATATAAATATGTGAATATGTTAAAATATACCATCATTGTAAATATGAACGATTGAAAGAGGAAAAATAAATGAATTGAATTGAATTGAATTGAATTGAAGTACACTGCATTCCAACCACTCATTCTCACACCAATAACACCAAGAATAGATGTACCCTCTAGGATAGGGAGATGGATGATGGAGGGGGAAGGGGTCCTCCTCCCTCAAAAGTCTGCTTTCAGCACTGCTCCATGCTACTACTCCCAAACCCTGAAACACCATTCCTACTACAACTCGCTCCAATACCAAGAACAGGTGCAGGGATTAGGACCATCTACCTGTTTCACCCCTGCCCTACCTCACTTGATGCCTTCTTATGCTAATCTACATCGCACACCAATAACAGTGGTATCTAGACCCCTCCACGAAATACAGGGTTGGGGTCACCTACTTATCTTACCCCTCCCCCATCCTGCTCCCTGCACTCCCTAATGCTACCCCTCCCACCTCATCTGTCACCCCCTTACACTGCCTTAAGGTAATCGCACACCAAACAAATCTAGAACCCTCTAAGATACAGAAATATAGGGGTGGGGTCACCTAATTACCTTACCCCTCCCTGTCCTGCTACCCGCACTACCCCATGCTACCCCTCCCCCACCCCGTCTGTCGCCCCCTTGTGCTGCCATCCGTTGCTTTGTGTGACCGCTAGGGGCGGAGCTTGTCTTGATGGGCGGGAACTGGACTCTCTCTCCTGCAAGCGAACCAAATAAATGATAGATAATGGATGAAAAATTAAAAATGGCTTCTCTATCGAAAGACTTACTTTGAAGAATACCTTTACCTCTTGTTGATCCTTACTTTAGAACCAGAAGTTTTCAGATGCTTTAAATGTTAGTGAATTTTGCAATGGGTTCAGATAACTACAAAGTATCATGTCAGGAAATAGAAAACACATCTGACACAACACTGATTTTAGCAATTCACCAAAGTTTCTTGAAGTTCTATATTTCATGGCTCTCACTGACAAGTCATAAAACTGTCATGTCACAAATGTTTCTGGATCTATAGTACAAGAGAAAGAGATGGTACATGCTCATGAGATCTATTCAGTATGAATGCATTATTCTTTTAAGTACATTTAGAATATATCTGTAAGACTGCTATGATCACCTGTGGTCTAGTGTGCCAGGAATTCTCCCATCCCTGTACAACTCACATATAGACCCTGTCTATGACATTTAGCAGACATCACAACAAATGTGGACAAATCTGTTTTATGTTTTTTTTTTTTATGTTAGGCTTCCTGGGAGAAATTTCAATTGTTGTAAAGATTTTGTTTTGTTCTGACTTGTTTTTTAATACAAGATCGAGCACACGATCCTTGTTTACTAAGTGCAAGCTAGGAATTTCTTTACAAATCTGAAAAATATAAAACCTACCGTTTGGAGAAGAAAAGGAGTGACTCCTCTCCCTCGAGGTGAAATCACCGATGCTGACACTACCTACTGACTGAACCTCCATAGCATTAGGACTCATCTGAAATGGAACAGAAATCATGAACAATGGTCATAATCAAATGTTTTTTATAGGTTTGCATGGTGACCGCACCTTTTTATGTGTGTAATTACCATTGTATTATTGTTTTATTTCTTTGTCCCTTTTTTTTAGGGTGTTAATTTTTAGGATCATCTACCTTTAAGTTTCTGTAAATTTTTTGATGATCCGACCACATCATAATTTCCTTTAGTGTATTTGCCATTTTATTGGCTTAACTATGTTTTTGCATTCTTTGACTTTGTATGTCTTTGTGAAAGTGGTGAATAAATTTGATTCAATTCAATTCAGTTAGATTAGTGAGGAAAACTTAAACGGGTACACCAAGTGTGTAGTCCTTATATGGAATAGGGTATTCTTTCTTGGAGAGATGTGTTGGTTTTAAAAGAACTGTTGTTTAATTCTTTCTGACAAAAACTTCAATCTTAACTCTTTCAATGAAAGAAATGATCATACTTCAGTCAAAGTGCTAATTCGACTTAAATTGGACTTTAAACTGACCGACTGTTGGCCATTCTAGGAAATGTGATGTCTGTCCTGTCAGTTGTAGGTCTGTTGTCTGACTAGTATGGGTCTTGTCAATGTTACTGAGGTACTTGATACTGACATATAAGCTGCTATTTTTGCAGATCACAGGGACAAAAAAAAAAGTTGTTGTTTTCACAATGATTAGCAGAGGCTACTTACAATACATCTTCACACATGCACTACCCGCACATTTTTGCATGTTGTTCAATTGGTGACCCTACAACACTTTTTGAAATTTGTGAAAGTAAAGCCCTTTACAAAATGAATTTCTTACCCAGTACTTGTCTTATGAGACCCTATACAGTTGTGATACAAGTTTGTAAAGTTTGTGGATATGTAAGGTTAAAAAGTAATAAATCCACTCAGGGAACCAGGGAAACAATGGTTTAACATCCTATCCATGGGACTTACCACAAGATTGACCCGTGACCCTTGACCTATGACATCAGGGCTGATGGCAGGTAGGTTCGGTTCACTACTGGACTGCCTACTGCGTATCCCATGAGGGTTGATACGGGAGTCCGACGCCTGGAGGTCATTGTTGACTTGGCCGTGGACCCAGCTGCATTGTGTGAAAGATCAAGAAGAAGGGAATCAAGAAAATGAGACAAAATTTGAAATTGTTCCTTCTTCACTGATCTATTAATCTCTTTTCCTCCATTTATTTTATTTTTAAACTAATGCACCACTAATGTTGGGGTTCATTGTTGACTTGGGCACATACCCAGCTGCATCATTTGAAAAAAGAGATGAAATGAAAACAAATCAAATGAAGAAAATAAGAAAAAATGAAAGAAAAAAGAATTATTTTAGGATTTATTAACTTCTCCCTCTAACTTTCTGAATTCCTTCTTCTCTCCTTTCCCTCCCTACAATGTACTTATGTAACCAATTACAATAGAAATTGATAAAAACACTGATTCAGTTTACTTGTTCATAATGAGTTCATGAGAGAGTTTTATCCCCTTTTCTTTTAAACATGCATCTACCATTCTAAGGATAATTGTAACGGTCAGTTTTTCAAAACTGTCATCTATTTAAATCACATTGAAATGCATGTCCAAAAATTAACATGAATTAAAAGGGGAATATCCTATTGGGTTTTTGTCAAAAATTGTTTTGATTTGTTCTTTTGAACAGAAACAGCCTGAGAATGATTTCCCTGTCACATCAATGCTGTACATGTCCAATAAATTTCAAGCAGAAATATGAATAGGAATATGTCCAAGAAATTAGATACAGTCAAACCTGTTTTAGTGACCACCTGTATAGAAAGACCACCTGTTTACAAAGACCACATTTTTTGTTACCCTTGAAAATGCACTAAAGGAACCTGTACATAGAGACAACCTGCCTGTAAAGACCACTTTTCTTGTCTCCCTTGAGTGGTCTTTATATGCAGGTTTCACTGTACATGAATGTTCCAAGAAAGTGGTCCCTGGGGACTTGGGTGAGAGAACTTACTCAAATGTTCTATGTTGTGTGTGGCTGTTCTCGTCTACCTGGCTTTTTGCTCTTCTCTCTACTTCTTCATCGCGAGCTGTAAGGTACAAGCGAGAAAGGGATAGAGTGATCAAACTGGCGATTTAGCGAGGAGAAAAAGTTAAAAACCATCATGCAGAGAGAGAGAAAGAAATAGAGAAATGAAGAGATGAAGGAAACAGGCAATCAGAGATACAGATAGAGATATGGGCAGATTATGAGGGTGGGGGGGGGGGGGGTTGAGGAGAAAATGATGATATGCATGCACTTTTCTACAGAGTTTACCAAATCTTGTGTTTGATGATGCAATATATCTGCTAGCATTGCTTTTGTGATATGAATCTACTTCTGACGTAAGTTTTGAAGAGGACAATATGATAAAGATTACAACACATGTTTGAAGGCAACTCTAATTCATGGGAGAAAATGACACCAAATTAGGCCGATCAAATTTACGTCTCTATACGTATGATGATTCAAAATTCAAAATCAATAACATATCGATTTGAGTGAGAAAAAAGCAATAAAGCTATACAAAGCTATGTAAGTATCAAATAATTAACCAGCATATCACAGGCATTTAATAATAATGATAATGATATTCAGCTTTTATATAGTGCTTGATACAATGTCTCCAAGTGCTTTGCAGATATACTATTTCCCCGGTTATTGGCTTCAGTGCTTGCCCGCACACAATGTGTGCACAATCTCCACTCCCTGGGGAGCATTCCAGCCAGTCGTTTTAGAATTACAAATGTTGAGATTGTAATACCTTGAAAGTAGTCTTTCCTCTGAACCCCCTTTTTGCCGGCATTCTGAACAGGTCTGGCTGTGCTAGCATCCTGGTTCTTCCTGATCTGCTGGTATCTTTGAATTGGGTCTGAAAGTAAAGGTTAAACATTGTAATGTGGGTGCATTGGTATCAAAGAAATGGGATACCTAGACGGTGCAAGGAGAAAGAGAGAGAGAGAGAGGGGCACGAAATAGACAAGAGAACAAAGAGAAAGAAAAGAAGGAAACGTAGGGGGAGAAAGACAGAGCATAGAAGTGAATATGAACAAGAAAACCTTGGGAACAAATTAAGCATCAAGGAGCTAATGTGAGAGAGGTGAACGGAGCAAGACAGAGAGAGGGGGAGAGAAAAGGAAGGGGAGAGAGAGAGAGACAGGGAGAGGGGGAGAAGGGGGAGAGGGGGAAGAGAGAGAGAGAGAGAGAGAGAGCAAGGGGGAGAGAAAGAGAGAAAGTAAAAGAGAAACTGGATTTGAGAAAGAGGAAAGATAGAAGGGGAAAGAAAGAGAAAGGTAGAGAAAGAGATAGGGGGATAGAAACTTGATAAAAGGAAAGTAAAAAACAGAAGAATATAGAGGGATTCTTATTTCATTTATTGAATTAAAATTGATGGAGCATGGCCACGCTATCTAGCACTTCAGACAAATGAGTTTAAAGAAACAAAGTGCACTGAGATAGATGTATAAACGGTGAGAATAGAAAAAAATGATCGAAGACAAAAATACTTGTCTTACCTAACTTCTTCTTCTTTCCTTTGGCTAGCTTCTTAGCTCTTTTCATCATCAGATCTGCAGTCACGCTATCCTTGAACCCCCTGATAGAAATAAAACATCAAATCAAATCAAATAAATTAAAAGATATGCTCGGTATGACAGACAAAAGATTTTTTTTTTTAATTCACAATTTTTAAGATTCCACATTGTATAATACTATTCAAGAAGAGCATAAGAGTACTGTATATCATCACTGATTATGCGGTACGTCCCACCTGTTTAACTACATGTAGTTCACCCCCTTTTATTCCATGTGTGGGAAATAAGTGTTGGACTAAGAAGGACTTCATATTTCTTGCTGAAACAGAAACCTTCATCATAAGACAATTCCCGTAGATAATATGTCCAATTCAACCACAAACCAAAGCATTACACAGGACTCTGGAAAGGTCATTTATGACACATGTATTAACAAATATATTAGGGGCACATGCAAGAAGGGGTTAGAAGTTTATAGACCATACTAAGACCAATTTTGTTGGTTCCCTTTAAAATGTTCACATTTAAACATGAACTAAGAAATGTGTACTTGTAGATAAAGACCATCTGCATATTGAAGACCAATACTTTTGTCTCCCTTGGGTGGTCTCTATATACAGGTTTCACAGTATTTTAATGTGTAATAGCTGAAAGTACATTGACATACATGTACATGAAGAGAGAAAAGTCCTACCATTCTTCAGTGAGTTGCTCTTGTCTTGCCGTCCGCTGGGTCCTGGGCGTGCCCATGCTGAGTACCTCAGTACCACTCATGCTAGAGGGCGTGGTTGGTGGGAGGGGCGGCTTCCTCATCACCAGCCCCCCTCCCATCCCCTCAGGGGGTGAGACACCACCACCGGGTAGGTTATTGAGGGGCGAGTCCGCACCCCTCCATGCTTGACGGAGGGGTCTTGTCTGGGGTTTTTCAGGGGAGGAGGGTTTTGTGGTGGAAGGGGGGTAGGGTTTGTGGAGGGAAGGGGGTGAAGGCAGGGTGGGGCGAGGGTTGGGCCTTGCATGGGTGGAGTTTGAGGTGGGAGGGAGGGGCGGGTATTTGGACAGGAGGGTTGGGGTATCAGAGGGTGTGGTCAATCCTTTATCAAGCATGTCCTGGAAATATAAAACCCCAAATTAAAAAGTGAATAATCACCATTATTATCAGGTTAGCCTTAAAGCATGTCTGCACTAGTTCGGCCAGGAGGGATTAGGCCTCCCTGCCTGGTCACTGACAGGTGGTTATCTAAACAATTCAGCTCTCAATTAACATAAGAAAAAGGGGATCATGGGGGACCAACGGGTACCGCTTAGGTATTGTTTGCTATACAGAGGGTGCAAGTAGCTACAAGTAGTGCAGTCCTGCTTAATACTGAGGACTCGACACATTGTATATACATTCAGTATATGCACCTAATTCTGTTGTCTATAGACTACCAATATATGAAAAGTAAATATAAATTCTACCCACATACTACAATTGCTTGAAATTCGAACCAATTAAAAAAAGCCATTACAAATCAAATCCTACGTATGGAATAAATTCATAAACACCTGCAAAATCAATCATATGATATCCTTTGAAAAATCATAAATTTTCAGTCACAATCTCACCTCATCAAAATCAAATGAATCGAGATCAATCTCTGCATACTCCATTTCATCCTCATCAACATGTCCCCCTGTGTCATTTCTTAACGACCTCTTGACCTCTCCAATCCTTCGTCTGACCTTATGACCTCGCCAGTAGGCCTGTATCTTCAAAGCAGCCAGCCACTGCTTGGTACGGTCGTCGATGCTCTGTCGGACGGAGTAGCCGCGCCACTGGGCCTGGATCACAGTGGCGGCACGGTCTGAAAGACTTATGCTGGAGGAGGAAAAAAAAAGGAGGCTAGTTAGTTCATCTTCGGATAGTGATGTAAAGTCAGAGGTAGACACAGGATAGTCTGAAAAGTGGGGGGGGGGGAGGGGGAGTAAGACTGAATTGTTTGACAATTTCTTAGGTCCGGAATCCTGGGAAGTATACTAAGACAACGGCTTCTTTACTCTTCAGAAGATGAAGGGCTGCTGAATTCTATTTTTTTCCCTTCTGGTAATAAGTGGAAAAAAAATTAAAGGGTTTTATACATGCACATGATGTACTTAATATTAGTACCAATATGTTGGTTCCATGTAAATTGACAAGACAGACATGTAAATTTCCCATCTTGTTTTTTTTTTTGGGGGGGGGGGAGGGGGCATATAGTATCATGGTTACTAAAGTCACCAGCCCTCTGTTAGCTATCATTTTCAATGAAAATCTTAACAACCTAACACATGCAAACAGCTTACACCAATCATCAATTTGCACTACTTACCCATCAGCTTTCAGTTCTTTCTGCAAGGCTTTAGAGATTGTCTTTGCATCAACCCTGCTGCCACGATCATTTGACCCTTGACCTTTGCTGCTGCCCTTTCCATAAGGCTCTTGCTTTGACCTTGTGCCCTGCAAGTTGCTCTCCTTAACATTCACACCAACTGATCCTGCATCTGTAGGTAATGTCCTTGTACTTCCATTAAACTCTGTAACTTGACTTGTGGCTCGTCTCTTGTTGGCAACAGCTTCTGTAGTTGGTGCGGTTCCGTTTCCGCCCTTGGCTAGCGATACACCGACACCAGAAGACGACACCAGACCCGGTGGAACACCCTTCTGATTCAAAGCTTTTGCCTCTAGGGGTGTAGTTTGCGCTGCAGTGCCTGGATCTGTGTTCACGCTGGTAGCTGGAGTCGTCTCTCCATATTCGTGGGCATAGCGGTGATCCACTGCTTGCTGGAAGGTCTCTTCCAAATGTCTTGAGAGCATCTCAGCTCTCTCTACTCCGAATTTTAAATCACCTTGATTGGTCAGAGAGCTGTTAGATAAGAAATGCAATTTTATTAGCACTGGATGATTTAGGGCATGGGGATACAAGCAGCCAAAGTCTCTTTCTTATATAACATCACATTGTACATATATACCTTACCTATACATACAGAAAAAATTGATCATATACAGGAAGATTTGTTTGTGTCTCCTTTCAAATGTTAGACCCAAAATGCACCTGATAATATGGAGACATTTTTCTCTCTGGTCATGGATTTTTTTTGAGCACCTCAAAATGTGATAACATGTTTTCCACTATTATGCTTGACAGACATTTTCAAAAATTGCGCCCCTTCATCGAAATCCTGAATACGGCCCTGTGATCAAATAATCACTTAAATTCAAAATTTATTGATTGAAATCTGTTTAACTTTCAGTATGGTGACATTTAGTAAACACTTGGTCATGACCTTTTGACCTTACAGGTCAATGGGTCTCACTCTTACCTCAGCTCTGCTTCCTGTCTCTTCAGAAGAGCATCTTGCACAGCTACCTGTGACCTGCACATGACCTCAAAGCTACTCCAGGTCACAGAGGGGTCATGACCTTTGACCCCTGAGGTCAGCAGGTCAGAGTCGAGTTCCTGCAGAACTGGGAGAACCTTGGTGATGGCGTCTCGATAGTTTGGTTCCTCGGTGAAGGCATTGCCTTGTACGTCTAGACGCTTGAGCCGGGTACATCCTTCTAAACCTGCTACGATGCATTCAACATCTGGGAAATCAAAGGAGATAATCTAAGTGACTGGAATACTTTCAATCAAGGGACGATCACTTCGACAGAAAGCTTGCTCTAATACATGTAGGCGTATTTCAAATAATTAAAATGTGTAACATTGATATGTACGAATACTTAATGCATACGTGCAATTGTGAAACTTTCCCCTATGGTAAAACTTATTTTCAGGACATGTTTTAATTTTTAAGAGAGCTATCTGCTCAAAAATCTCTGATAAGTAGCCAGATAATATGCATGGCCTTAAGACTTATTGGGGGCCTAGGTACTCAAGAAATTATGCCTGGACTATTCACAATACTAAGTGTATAGCAGGCCATAATGCATAAGTTTTACAACAAATTACAATTGAATCAAAAGAGAATTGTAGAATTTAAGTGCCTCTTGCATTAATGTGGAAAATAAATTAGGCCTATCACAGACAGTCACTGCATATGTTGACAACTACAGTGTCCTTAAAAGCATTATAATTGAACTTACCTGATATGAAGTTGTTGCATATGCTGAGATGGCTAAGCAGTAGAAAAGACTTCAATGGGGCAAGCTCTGACAGCCTAAGAAAGACATTATGTGAAAACAAATGACAAATCAATAAAACTAGGAAAAGTCTAGCTTAACAGATAAGAATATTGACATTCACAAACTTAATTTCTTTCAGGGATGATATTTACATAGGCTAAGGAATATAGACATCACTGGCCAGGGGTCCAGGGAGCCTAGACGGCCCCCTGGCGGAGCTGCAGGGGTGTTGCCTCCTGAAGCTCCTGCTTTCTATTGGACTTTAATGACCAATTTCTATTAGATTGTAATGCTAAAATAAATATGCACAGTAGATCTAGACTAAATGAACCAAACAACAAACAAAAAATGGCTGAGATGAAGACAAACAGAAATAATTATCTGGTATGGGGAATTCTTTAATAAAACTGACATTTGTCAACCTACATACACAGACTGCAACCTATGATACACTCACAATGGGGTTGATTAGCCAGCTATTTTCGCCACAATCCCGTGAAAAGGTTTGTCCCTGATTTTTCTTTAACTAGACCTAACACTTTGATTCACAATTCAGGCACAGAGTAAAGTCTTGGTATTAGGCCAGGAACTGCCAGCTTTGAGTATGTCACTGATTATAAGTGGGATTCAAAGCCTGTCTGTACTAGTTCAGCCAGGAGGGATTAGACAACCCATGGTGGTCACCTACAGGTGCATATCTCATCAACTCAGGTCTCAAATAAGATAAGAAAAAGAGGATCATGGGGGACCAATGTTCCCAGATTAGGCATTGTTTGCTATATAGAGGGAGCAAGTAGCTACAAGTAGTACAGTGGGGCTTTAAAGCATCACGTTTAACTTACCCATTTTGACTAAGATCTAGATGCTGTAATAGAGGGAGCCACATAGAAGTGAAGTCACCTAGCGTAGAAAGACTGTTGCCTGCTAGCGACAAGGAACGCAGAAGCACATTGTTGGACAGGTTAGGAGTCTGGAATATAGAATATCGATATGATCATACATTATGTTATGTGGTTAGACTGATAATGGATGATAACTACAGCAAAACAAACTCTGGCCACAACAGTTTTGCAGTTACATGTAATTTTCTACACCCATATGATTTCCTAACTTCTTCCCTGGACCCAACTTATACCTCACTGAATCTTTAAACAAACCCTAACCTCAATCCTAATCACAACCCTAACCCTACAACCCTCCCTATGTGATGAAGAAATACATGTAGTAAATATATGAAGTCCTCACTTCAAAATCCTACATACATGTACACCCTTTTAATTATCTGAGACTAACTATATTAATTAAGACGGTTATCATAAGAAAAACTTATATCATGACCCACCTGAGATAGAGAGTTGGAACTAAGGTCAAGCTTCTGCAGCAGTGGACATTGGTCAAGCCCTCGGACACTGCTCAGATGGTTGGATGTCAAGTTAAGGTCTTGAAGATGGACCAGAGAGGTCAGACCAGAGACGTTGACCAGTTGGTTGTGACCCAGGTCAAGATGGGTCAAGGAGAGGAGTGATTCAACTCCACCTGAGAGAAATGAAAATATTTATTCTGATTTATTTGGGTAGGTTAAAGGTATCTTGATATATATGTAATTGTTTGATATTCCGGAAAGAATGACATCTGAAATTCTTACAGAATCCCACAAAACTGATATTTATTTTTTTGTTTTAAGAGACTAGAAATAATTGTTATTCAATTATTAAACATATCAAAAGAAAACTGACTCATTTGTCTTCGATTCCTACATTGTATACATGTGCATGTACATGTACCAACATCAAAAACCTGTGACTATATATGCAAATTTATTTCTTCTTAAAGAGATCACTAATTCCAAGTTTATTTTCAATAGTTTTCTTCCCATCAATGACTTTAAAAAGAAAAAAATTATTCCCTTAGATTGTTTTAAGAGTCCACAGTAAAAAAAAAAGTGATAAGAGAGCGAAATTCAAGGTACAAACACATGAATATAAAAGTTTGCCTAGTACTTACTTATTCGGGTGATTTTGTTCTGACTGAGATTGAGTTTCCTGAGCTGGCTGCATCCCTCCAAGCCTTGAAGCGAGGTGAGTACATTCCATGAAGCGTCGACGCCAGAAAGAACTCTCCGGTCTCTGCATAGCACACTCTCTATCTTATTGTGCTGAAGAAGGAGAAAAGAATGATGAAATTGTGATAATAATAGTTAAGACAATAATAACACATCGATCACTCAATGTTATTTATACAACAAAGTAGTTTTGCAGACATTACGTTCCAGTTGTGTTTTAGAAACCATTTACTTGGATAAACTTACCTCCTGGGTGACTAATATTTTGAAGAATTTAGCTGGTAACAACAATATGTAGAACTCTTAGCCTTACACGTGAAATGTACTTTCAGTGATCTATAACATCTCCATGACATCTGTTATTGTGTAAATTCCCTGTTACAAACCTTATACATATTCATGTATCTGAATGTTAATCATGGCCCGGCAGAGGACTGAAACGTAAGAGCGTTGATTTTTTATTTAAAAACCTCTGACTGTCTGTATAGGTAGTTTATTGTTTTTGTTTTGAATTCACACTGTTGCTACTGTTGTGTTGTTATATGATTTTATAATATAATGTTGTGACATCCCAAACAGTGTCAAATACCCTATTAAATCTCAAGATTATTCGTCTTTTAATCAAGCAACAAATCTACTCTCTTACTGAGACATCAATCCACAGAATATCAGGGCTCTCATCCAGGCTTTCTAGGGCTGTGACACCGCAGTTGTTCAGGGTCAAAGTTCGTAACCTTTGACATTTCATGAGTGAGGTCAATGAGCTCCCTGGGAGGTCTTTTAGTTGGACAGTAGTCACCTAGGAGTAAGGGGAAAGGAGTTGATACAAATGGTCAAAATGTTGGCAGAAATACTCAATGTTGTTGCCTGGCTAGACGATAACAGGCCTCAGCAATTACTTACAAGCATAATTTCTTTTAAGATTTGAGGTGAGATGGCATAGTGATAGAGCAGTGGTCTCGTAACCAGGAGGTCCTAGGTTCGAAACCAATTTGATGGGCTAGTGCCCTTTGGTAAGGCATAAATCCTGTTTAGCAAGTCCATCGGAGAGGACTTAAAGCCGTCAGTTCCCTGGTTGCTTACTTACAAGCATACACATGCTGTCTTAGCAGTCAGGTACATGTAAATCAAACAAACCAACCTTGAGACCTTCAATAGACATATTTGTGAAATTTTAAAATGAAAGTGGAAATCTTAAAGTCCTATTTTCTTCTGATTGGTCACTACTGAGTTTTTGAAAATGAGAGCATGACATAACGGGTGAACTTTTTCCCTTTTACCACGCATATCAAGAGTATTTTTTCTTTATCTGTGAATAACCATGCCTTGCATCTTTATTACAACTAAGGTCGCTGACAGTAAGATAAGAAATTAATTTCAGATCATATATCCAACTTGTGAATAGGCATCAACAACGGTACTAGCTTGAATCTCAACTCAGATCTGGGCCCTGTCACATTAAACTTAGCTTACACTGATGTTAACTTTGCCCTTAATGGTAACTTCCATGGAAACTTAATTTGATTGGCTGTAGAGTGATGCTGATATGGTAGTTAACGATTAATGGCAAAGTTACCATCAATGCTAAATTTTCTTGGTTTATTTTTGTGTGAATAAGCCTGATGACATGGAGCCCTATCAACAATCCTCACCTAACAGTGGACACTGGAAGTGAGATACAGAATAAACATCCCATGTGTGAATGAACACACACACACACATTACATTTGAATCTCACTATTTTCTTTATTTTCTTGTGTGTGAATGGGCCCAATGAGAGAGTATCATTGGATGGAGCCCTATCAACAATCCTTACCTGGTCTAAGGCCATGCCTGATGGTGAGACATCCTTGATCTGGTCCTCTGTGAGGGCCTGGATCTTCTTGGCCGAGGCTGGTCTACGGAGCTGTCTTCTAGGCTTGGTGGATGTGCTAGCAAGCTTGGCCCTGCTAGCTAACTTACTGTAAGATGAGAATCGAAATAAAAATACAATGAATGATAAATGATGCATGCAAGGTATTCTGTCAGATCAATCTATCAGCACAAGATCAGCCCTTGTGCACCTCCACATACAGTGAAACCTGTCTATAAAGACCACCCAAGGGAGACAAGAAAGGTGGTCTTTACAGACAGGTGATCTTTATGTACAGGTTCCTTTAGTACATGTTTCAAAGAGAAAACATTTTCAAGGGAAACAAAAAATGTGGTCTTTGAAGACAGGTGATCGGTAAACCAGGTTGGACTGTATTATGATAGGTGTAAACAGGTTAACAGAGATAGCATTGATTGGACAATTAATGTAAGTATTCTAGATCCTTATTATTTGATTTTGAAAGACTCCATTTTGAAAGGAGATTATTCAAGGTTTGGTAGATGGCAAGTAAATTCCCAAGTCCATACGCTACACTTGTTGCTCATGGGCATCTTGTGTGTGATTTCAATAGATAGTTCTGGAAAGTAATGCACACTTTGGGGGTTAAAAAATGGGAGTCTCAAATGAGCGACACCCGACTGTTTTCAACCAATCGTTTGATTACGATCTACATGTATTAAGTTGTATTAAATGATGTTTAAGCATTCATGAAATGTTATACATATGCAGGTTGATTTCAGTTTTTATCTGAATCAAGAAGTTATACTTACGTCAGGGATATGCAGTCTTGGATCCACTGTAGACGACGCTGCTCTAGTTCTGCCACAAGAGGGCGGTGCTCCATCAAGTTGGGCATTTCTTCTGAAGAACCCTCTTCCATTTGTGTCTCTATCGAAGGGGTTTCCAGTCCCTCTTCATTCTTTAATTGTTCTTTTTGAGTAACATTTCCAGAATTTGAATTATTATTAGAATATCCTTGCCTTTCATCTTCCAAATAACTATTTGCTACTTTACTGATATCTACTTCAGCATCTTTAGGCAGAGTTACTTTTTGGTGAGTACTGGTAGCAGGTAGGGTAGCGGAAGCGACATCCTCAGTGACCTTCGATCTCCTTGGAATTGTATTACTCTGATCTTCCTCAGCTTTGACAGTACTCTGTATCTCTTTCCCAGACACCTTCAACTCCAAGCCGCCCAGAGTGTCAAGACCCCTGGTTTCCGATCCTCCAGTATTTCCAACGTTTGAACTTCCGCCTCCAAAACGATCTTTGGAGGTTGAACTTGTCTGATCCGTCTTTGGGTGCATCTCTCCTTCTTCATCCAAATTTCCCCTAGATGTTTCATTCTGACCCTGTGAAGTCTTTCCTATTCCTCCATCATGGAAAGTACTATCAAGAACAATCGACCTCTGCCGACCTTTGAACTCGTCACCCATCAAGAGGTGACTTCCTTTAGAAGATGGACTTGGCTCTTCAATGAAACTAACACCTTTCTCAGTGATAAAGACAGACTCTCCTGCGCTAACGGTCTGCTCTTCGTTAGCAGATTTCTCCCTGTTAGTCCTATCACTACTCAAGCTGTCCTGCTGCCTTGTGGAAGCACTAGGAGTTCCTTCAGGATTCTTTGCATCAGGTGCAGGAGCGTCCTGCAAACTGGCATCTCCTGCTTCGGGTCCTCCTGCGATTGCCTTTTGTTCATCCTTCTGTCTGTCCGGCAAGATTCGCTTCAGGATCTCTTCACTTTGCTTCTTCAGCTCCTCCTCTTTCTTTGCTTCCTCTTCCTCTCTCTTCAGCCGTTCTTTCTCCAACCTCTCCTTCTCTTTCTTCTCCTTCTTCAGCTTGATCCTCTCCAGTCGTTCAATCTCCAGTCTCTCTTCTTCTTTCCTCTTCTCCTCTTCTTCACGCTTTTTCCTGCAATGAATAATCAAAGCAATGAGCAAATTAATGCTGTCTGATCAACCATTTCAATCTGATTCAAATAGTTGCATTTCTAGTATAAATAGTAAGATATAAATAGTAAGAGTAAAAGTGATTCAATGATTATTTTACATAATGGTCATCTATCAAAATATACTGTTCACACTTACCATCTTTTTCACGGTTCCTAGAGATAAAAATGTTACCCATCAAATAGTGCTTCATCCATATAAAAACACCTTTTTTTGTGTCATACTTTTATATGTTGTTATTAAAGAACAAAAATACAACAACAAAAACATTCAAGTATAGTACACAAGATCACTAAGAAGCAAGTCTACTCAAAGCTCAGACATGGCTCCTTTTTCTCAGAGATTTATCAATGAATGGAACAATCTTTCCTCTATAGTTGTGGAGAGTACGTCACTTAATAGCTTTAAATCCAATTTGTCAAAGATTAATTTGACCCACAAAAGTCCTTAGATTGTCCATTTTGGTGAACTGCTGTACAGCGCGCCACTAAACGTGTGTCCAAACATGGATTCTTCATCCCAATCCTTGACTCTTTATCCTAATGTCAACGAGAGGCAAATAAGCTTGTAACTTTAAATGCCTACCTCCAAGGTATATAAATTGACGACATAACAAAACGAAAACTACCAACCTTTCTCCTTCTTCTTTCTTCATCTTCTCTAGCTTGTCTTTCCTCTTCTGCTCTTCTTTTCTTTTCCTGCCTACCACAATCTCCATCTGCCTCTCGTTCTCTCTCTTCTCCTTAAGTCCTTCTTGGATCATCTTCATTTTTTTCCTGTATGGTTTTCTCACCCTACGGAAAAAAAATCAGGAGAAAGTGATGCATACAAAGGTGACTTCCTCACAGAAAAAAAAAATTGTTTTTGGATCAACAATACAACAACAAAAAATAAACAAACTTAAAGGTGATCATTGAGTAGATTATTTTTCAAGGAAAAAGGCATTATAATCTTTAAATTACCAGTCAATAGTTGTATGGAAATATCACTAATTTCCCTTTCAAATTGTCACCTATTTGAGCATTATTACATTGTATATACCATTCATTCATTTCGGTTCGGTTCATGAGAAAGGGGTTCATCAAATAAAATATTTTTAAGGACAGTAAGCATTTTAATCTTTAAATTGGCAACCCACAGAAATCATTATTTTCCCTTTCGATTTGGAATTGTATTGGTATGGTAATATTTCATGTAGTGAACATCCATAACAGTTTGTTCTTGGCTCATGTTTTATCTTTTTACAGATTTATCTATATGTATCTATAAAAAGATAACAATTTGGCCATAGTACCACTAAAAGAAAAGTAACATTAAAAAAGCAGCAGAATCATTGCCACTTTGAAAGGCATGTTAGTTTATCAAGTCCATACGGCACTCTTTTTCCTTAGTCCCACCTGTAGGATCTGAAGGCTGCTTGGATTGTTGTTGCAGCAGTGTGTTTCTTGGTGGTCTGTCTCTTTACCTCCTGGTGATGTTCCTGCTCAAAGGCCCCCCTCTCCAATGCTGTCTGTCTGGATAGCTCGTCTATCTGGTGCTGTGGGTGTGAAAAAGAGAAAAGATAGCATTATCTTTATTATTGTTATTATTGTTTATTCAGCAAAAACAAAGAAAATCATTGAATACAAAACAAGAGTACATTTGGAAAGAGTCACATGAATGCCGAGAAAAGAAAAAAATTAACAAAATAACTGTAACCCGAACGTCTTCTTTTCCAATCCATGTGACTTTACAGAAATAACTGATTCAAGCAAATAAGTTCCTTATATGATTTATCAGCACTCAGGCTGAGGCTGTGCAGATCTATCACAAGAAGTATTGATAGGTGCACACAGCCTCAACGAGAGTGGATAGCCCATGTAATGAATAAATGAGGACTCGCGTCGTTTCCTTTACACAACAAAAATCCTAAATCCTTATTATTTGGTAAAAGAAGGAGCCATTTAATGATTGAATGAGGTCAGTATTGATGACAAATAAATCCAAAATTAAGTATGCTTTATTGCATACCGGTACATATTTAGTATAGTGCATTTCTCCTCACACGCACATTCTTTTTTTTTCATGTACAGTGCATTTAAAAACATTAGGTATACTGAACAACTGTTTCATGATAATGATAAAAACATGTTCAATAAAAGAATCATGCATGTCTGCGTTCAACTAATAATTTGTTTAGGATCAAAGAGTCCCTTGTATGAACCAAGATAAAGACAGAAATAGAGTAGATCATTGACTTAAACTAGGATTTGTTATAAAATGAGGATCTCCACAGGCCTAAGATTGAAAGAATGTCAAAGAAATATTTGGTCTCACCTGATATTGCTGTAACTCCTCCTCTGTTTGTCTTGTTTCATTAGCAATCTCTTCTTCTATTCTAGCATTTGTGACCTATGAAAGACGACACAATCATTACTAAGAAAAAATTTCAAACAAATACAAATCTACTTGCTACATAATTGCAGCCATGCTAAATTTTATCCAGGGTAATAATTGTGGAGCGCTAGAAGTGTCAAGTCTGACATGAGTGCTATACTAGAACCCACTATTATTATTATTATCATTTATTTTGAAATCTCAAAAGTAAAGGTTCATTCAGAAATTATTTTGATGCTGTCAATATTTAAGTTAATGTTAAGTTCTAGCATCCCATAGGTAATCGGGATGAAACTTGAAGAATATGTTCTCATACTGCTCCACTTGTGCAAAAAAAAATCTATGTTCCAGATATAGTGATGTGTGAAATTGGATTTTACAGAGTCTGACACGTATCAATGAAGATACATTTCTGTTTCTAACCGGGGTCCAAGAGAATAAGTTTACAGGTGTAGACAGAGTAACAAAAGGGCAAAGTACTGTATAATCGTAGAATGTTATGAAACGTATCCATATACAGTTGAAGAGGCTGGATCGATGACTCAGTGGCAGATCAGTGGACTCATAACTGGGAGATCCCAGGTTCAACACCAAGTCAATGTGCTTGTGCCCTTTGGTAAGGCACTAATCCATATTACCAAGTCCATCTGAGAGGACTTCAAGCCTATCTGCACTAGTTTGGTCAGGAGGGATTAGACCTCCCTGAAAGGTCACTGACAGGTGGTTATCTCATCAAATCAGCTCTCAATTAACATAAGACAAAGAGGATCATGGGGGACCAATGATCACCGCTCAGGCATTGTTTGCTATATAGAAGGCGCAAATAGCTATAAGTAGTGCAGTGGGGCTTCAAAGCCATTGGTCCTCTGGTTGCTTTCTTACAAGCATCTTCCATACATGCTTTCTTAGCAGTCAGTTTAAAAACAATCATCAAACATCAAATTGGGTAAATGTTCATGCAGACCATGCATCCTTGGACAACATACCATTCTCTTCTGCGCAGTCTGTCTCTGCTCCTCGTCATTTTCCTGTTGCTTCTGCTGACGAAGCTGCTCTGCGTTCTGGTCCAAGATGGCCATGGTGAGGTTCGCTTCCTCTCGTTCTCTCGTCTCGATCTCCTCTCGTTCGTGGAGCACGCCCTCTAGAATCTGAACTTTCTCCATCAGCTCCTGCTCAAACTTGTGAATGTCCGTGTAGACCATCACAGCTCCACTCTCTATGACATTGACATCAATAATCCAAGATAACTCAAAATGGACATTTATTTTCTAAATTTAAAAAATACTCAGCTTTCCCCTTTGAGATGGTAACACTGATAATTAACTAATATTGATACATTCCTACAGCCCTGTATATTTTTTGAAATTTCTATGAATGAACTCTACAAGATTCAAGTATTCAAGAAAATATCCAAGTTGCACTGGAAAACTGTGATTTTGCATTAGAATACCGGTTGCCAACTTGATTTTCAATCTTTATTTCTCTGAAATAATTGAAATGAACAAAATACATTCCATGCAGGAATTCTGCTCTTTATACTTATGCATTATAATCCTACATTTTGAAATGAACATGACACAATTTACAAATAGGTCAAAGGGGAAGAAACATACCTTCATCAAGAACAGGAACAAGATCCAGTCCATTGACCTGACCTTCTGACCCCTGACCCTGGTAATCTTCTAAGTCCTTCCTGTCAGCCTCTTCAAGCTCATGCAAGACCTACAGGTGGGTGAGAAGGACAAACATACTAGGAATCTTTAGAGTCAGAATTCTTGCTAACTCTATTTGGTGTCAGTATTGTTTAACGAGGGAAGCCTCATAAGCTTCAATGCTGTTCTTCCTAAGGGACCTGCAATTATTATTACCCCAGCAATTGCCAGGTATCCATTTACATCTGGGTGGAGGGTGGCAAACATGGATTAACGTCTTGCTAAAGGACGTTAGTGCCAGGTCGAGTTTTAAACCCTTAACCCTTGAATTGAGAGTCAGGTAAATGAACCACTATACCATAACACCTCCACTGTCATGATCATAAGAAAACATCAAACTTACAAGGGGTATGAGTTTGTCAGTTGTTAACTGTACATGTACCGTACATGATCAAATCATTCTCCCACTAAATCAGGGGGGGGGGGGGGCATTTCACAAAACTTGTCATCAACGACAAATGACAGTTTTTTGTATAAGCTACTGAAATCCTTGCTTCAGATTGGTTATCCGCAGATTTGTCTCTGATTTTAGGCATTTGTCATTGAAAAAAAGGCTTTGTGAAACAGGTCCCTGATCTTACCCTGTCTCTGAGTTCCTCAGGATCTTCTCCTAGCTGGAAGGCCAACTTGTTCAACTCCTTTGACTGGTAGGCAAAGTTCTCTACATCGTCTTCATCAGTGACTGGAAATAAAAATGAGAGCAGAGATGGAAATCGGTACAAATTTTAAAAAAAGTGTTATATCACAAAAATATCCAGAAAGTTCAATATATTTGGAGAAAGTAGTCAACTGATAATGTGTCAATTTCAATTCGTTTTCAATAAAGGTCACAGCTATAATTAATCAACCTTCCACAGCAGATATTAAAAATTTCTTGAGGCATAATTTAAAAAAAAATTGTAGTTGAATGCTTTTACACATGCATATTCAGGAAAAGAGAAGAATTCAAGGGTGCTTAGAATTGGGGGTGGATGTTAACAAAAGAAAGGAATATTTCCTCTACAATAGCAATGCTTGGCAGCTATTCTGAGATGCAAGCCAAAATTTGAACCAATTTTCTGAAGACTCTTCTGCAGTCTGCACTTCTTTAAGTACGTTCTAGTCTTCAAAAGACACATATTAATTTTTAGTAGAATATATCAACATCTATTCCTTTGTGTGATGAATCAAGGATGCAAGAGTTGAATTGTAAGCTCCAAAATAGGAATTTACCATCTATAACAGGAATACTTGGCAGCTATTCTGAGATGCAAGCAAAACAATGAACCAAACTCTCTGCACTTCTTCAAGAACGTTTTAGTCTTCAAAGGACACAGATTAAATTTTGATATGATAAATCAACATCTTACCTTTGTGTGATGAATCAAGTAGGTCATTGCACTCTTCTAGGGCAAGCTGGGCATCCTTAGCTCTGCTTTTGACCTTCTCTACGAACTGGGACACTGATTCAGGTATGGTACCGTTGGGAGGCGGTTCCTAAGGAAACAAGCATCACATGATCACATCTTAAATCGTGCATTGATAGCAGGACCTAGAATGCTTTAATTTCTTCACATTATGATTTCGAGACTTTTTAGACTAGCTACTAAGGAAAAAAAGAGATTTAATTTGCCCCAGTTTTGATAAATTCAATGTCTTTAACAAAGATATTTGTTTTGCCTGAGAATATCCATAGAATAAGATGAAAGCTTGCCAACTCCTATCCCCCCCCCCCCCCTCCCTTCAATCCCGTGCCAACATCTTTTTACTACAAATAAAATCATTACCTCTTCATCTCCAGTTCCGTCGACGACGTCATCTTGATCCTGTATTTCACCAGAGAGGGCGCTATCATCCTGAGGTGAAAGGGCATCTAACTCTCTTTGGATCTGAGCCTCGATCCAATCATCCTCCTCCTTTGCACCCTCCATGTTGGAGCCACGCCCATCTCTCATGGTTGACATTGCTCCTAATTGGACGGTTGACCTTGATTTCTTCCTGGATGTCTTTATAACAATAATTTTTTTTTTCGAAATTTGAAGGCAGTTCTAACTTCTACTTCTATTTATAGAATTGTATGTTAAAATCTTTAAAGTTGCCTGCATGATTTTAAGAATACCTAGATTTTGACTTGATCCAGGATCCAGATTCTAGATCAATCACAAATTTTCAAATCAAGCAACCAAAACGACAACACTTTTTAATGAAAAAAGAAAGAGGCATGCAATTTCGATAAATCATAGGGGCGCTGGTCTGAGAATAAGGATCATCCGCGAAAACGAGGATCATCTTGGTAAACACGGACAGATGCATCCGCAAGAATAAGGATCGTCCACATTTTCATGACGATTCTGATTTCCAATCCGTGTGTTGGCAGTGCGAAAAAACGGGTTCCGCAACGATTTTCTTGATGCATTTTACATCGACTTTGTACAGAGAGGCAGCGTATTTTTTTTCTGTAACGCTAATGCGTCACAGAGGTTATTTCCACGACTTGAATAGAGGCAACATCCGACACACACACTGAGGACACTGAATTGCGCCGCACTGATCAAATTCTAGGATTAAGATTAGGTTTATTTAGTCTAGGTTTTTAAGGTTAAGGTTGGGGGTTGAGTCTAGGGTTAATGAATATGACTAGGGTTAGGGAGACATTAGCTGAAATTAGCAATCGAAAATAATTTAAACCCCTAAAACCAAGGATAACCAACGGCACTGTGAGTGTCGGCTGATATGTTATGATCTGAAAACGTGACAAGTTCAGTGCGGGTGAAGCTTTTCTTCACACACCTAATCGGAGATGAAGGTAGCCCATCCAATGTGTAAAAATTGCCAATTTGATAAGTGTAAGGATCGCATTGTACACGTACAACCGCTATACTACACACACGCAATATATTCTTTGTGTATTGTATCCAGGCATGATCAGTGCAACGATGGCTGGCTACCAATTAAAATAGGCATGGTGGTCGGATATAATGAGAGTAGATGATGGAGGGGGGGGGGGGGGGGGGCGGTAAAGCGCAGTACTTAGGGGCAAATCAAAGAATTATACTAAGACCTCACCTCATTTATGTTAGAAATTAAAACGTTATTATCTTCTTTCGAATTGCAATATATCCCCGCACCATAATTATAAGCATGTCATGCATTATATGCCTTTTCTCTGCGAAAGGGGGCATTGACTACCAAATCACATAAACTATTCACCATTATGTCACCGTCATGTACATATTTTCTATAGATATAATTTTTCACGATCTCAACTTTTCACCACCCTAGCGTCATGTACATTGTCAATTATGGATAAAGTGGAATATTAACTCTTCACCACCCTACGCTAACTTTTCACCACCCTTCCGTCATGTACATTGTCTATGGATAAGCTGGAATATTAACTCTTCACCACCCTACGCTAACTTTTCACCACCCTACCGTCATGTACATTGTCTATGGATAAATGGTAATGTTAACTCTTCACCACCCTACGCTAACTTTTCACCACCCTACCGTAATGTACATTATCTATGGATAAGCTGGAATATTAACTCTTCACCACCCTATACGCTAACTTTTCACCACCCTAGCGCCATGTACATTGTCTATGGATAAGCTGGAATATTAACTCTTCACCACCCTACGCTAACTTTTCACCACCCTACCGTCATGTACATTGTCTATGGATTATTAACTCTTCACCACCCTATACGCTAACTTTTCACCACCCTTCCGTTATGTACATTGTCTATGGATAAGCTGGAACATTAACTCTTCACCACCCTACGCTAACTTTTCACCACTAGCGTCATGTACATTGTCTATGGATAAATGGTAATATTAACTCTTCACCACCCTACGCTAACTTTTCACCACCCTAGCGTCATGTACATTATCTATGGAAAAGCTGGAATAATAACTCTTCACCACCCTACGCTAACTTTTCACCACCCTAGCGCCATGTACATTGTCTATGGATAAGCTGGAATATTAACTCTTCACCACCCTACGCTAACTTTTCACCACCCTACCGTCATGTACATTGTCTATGGATTATTAACTCTTCACCACCCTATACGCTAACTTTTCACCACCCTTCCGTTATGTACATTGTCTATGGATAAGCTGGAACATTAACTCTTCACCACCCTACGCTAACTTTTCACCACCCTAGCGTCATGTACATTGTCTATGGATAAGCTGGAATATTAACTCTTCACCACCCTACGCTAACTTTTCACCACCCTACCGTCATGTACATTGTCTATGGATTATTAACTCTTCACCACCCTACGCTAACTTTTCACCACCCTTCCGTTATGTACATTGTCTATGGATACGCTGGAACATTAACTCTTCACCACCCTACGCTAACTTTTCACCACCCTAGGCCTATAGCGTCATGTACATTGTCTATGGATAAGCTGGAATATTAACTCTTCACCACCCTACGCTAACTTTTCACCACCCTAGCGCCATGTACAGTGTCTATGGATAAACTGGAATATTAATTTTTCACCACCCTACGCTAACTTTTCACCACCCTAGCGCCATGTACAGTGTCTATGGATAAACTGGAATATTAATTTTTCACCACCCTACGCTAACTTTTCACCACCCTACCGTCATGTGTATTGTCTATGGATAAGCTTGAATATTAACTCTTCACCACCCTACGCTAACTTTTCACCACCCTAGGCCTATAGCGTCATGTACATTGTCTATGGATAAGCTGGAATATTAACTCTTCACCACCCTAGCGCCATGTACAGTGTCTATGGATAAACTGGAATATTAACTCTTCACCACCCTACGCTAACTTTTCACCACCCTACCGTCATGTACATTGTCTATGGATAAATGGTAATGTTAACTCTTCACCACCCTACGCTAACTTTTCACCACCCTACCGTAATGTACATTATCTATGGATAAGCTGGAATATTAACTCTTCACCACCCTATACGCTAACTTTTCACCACCCTAGCGCCATGTACATTGTCTATGGATAAGCTGGAATATTAACTCTTCACCACCCTACGCTAACTTTTCACCACCCTAACGTCATGTACATTGTCTATGGATTATTAACTCTTCACCACCCTATACGCTAACTTTTCACCACCCTTCCGTTATGTACATTGTCTATGGATAAGCTGGAACATTAACTCTTCACCACCCTACGCTAACTTTTCACCACTAGCGTCATGTACATTGTCTATGGATAAATGGTAATATTAACTCTTCACCACCCTACGCTAACTTTTCACCACCCTAGCGTCATGTACATTATCTATGGAAAAGCTGGAATAATAACTCTTCACCACCCTACGCTAACTTTTCACCACCCTAGCGCCATGTACATTGTCTATGGATAAGCTGGAATATTAACTCTTCACCACCCTACGCTAACTTTTCACCACCCTACCGTCATGTACATTGTCTATGGATTATTAACTCTTCACCACCCTATACGCTAACTTTTCACCACCCTTCCGTTATGTACATTGTCTATGGATAAGCTGGAACATTAACTCTTCACCACCCTACGCTAACTTTTCACCACCCTAGCGTCATGTACATTGTCTATGGATAAGCTGGAATATTAACTCTTCACCACCCTACGCTAACTTTTCACCACCCTACCGTCATGTACATTGTCTATGGATTATTAACTCTTCACCACCCTACGCTAACTTTTCACCACCCTTCCGTTATGTACATTGTCTATGGATACGCTGGAACATTAACTCTTCACCACCCTACGCTAACTTTTCACCACCCTAGGCCTATAGCGTCATGTACATTGTCTATGGATAAGCTGGAATATTAACTCTTCACCACCCTACGCTAACTTTTCACCACCCTAGCGCCATGTACAGTGTCTATGGATAAACTGGAATATTAATTTTTCACCACCCTACGCTAACTTTTCACCACCCTAGCGCCATGTACAGTGTCTATGGATAAACTGGAATATTAATTTTTCACCACCCTACGCTAACTTTTCACCACCCTACCGTCATGTGTATTGTCTATGGATAAGCTTGAATATTAACTCTTCACCACCCTACGCTAACTTTTCACCACCCTAGGCCTATAGCGTCATGTACATTGTCTATGGATAAGCTGGAATATTAACTCTTCACCACCCTAGCGCCATGTACAGTGTCTATGGATAAACTGGAATATTAATTTTTCACCACCCTACGCTAACTTTTCACCACCCTAGCGCCATGTACAGTGTCTATGGATAAACTGGAATATTAATTTTTCACCACCCTACGCTAACTTTTCACCACCCTACCGTCATGTGCATTGTCTATGGATAAGCTTGAATATTAACTCTTCACCACCCTACGCTAACTTTTCACCACCCTAGGCCTATAGCGTCATGTACATTGTCTATGGATAAGCTGGAATATTAACTCTTCACCACCCTAGCGCCATGTACAGTGTCTATGGATAAACTGGAATATTAATTTTTCACCACCCTACGCTAACTTTTCACCACCCTAGCGCCATGTACAGTGTCTATGGATAAACTGGAATATTAATTTTTCACCACCCTACGCTAACTTTTCACCACCCTACCGTCATGTGCATTGTCTATGGATAAGCTTGAATATTAACTCTTCACCACCCTACGCTAACTTTTCACCACCCTAGGGTCATGTACATTAATTGTCTATGGATAAATGGTAATATTAACTCTTCACCACCCTACGCTAACTTTTCACCACCCTTCCGTTATGTACATTGTCTATGGATAAGCTGGAACATTAACTCTTCACCACCCTACGCTAACTTTTCACCACCCTTCCGTTATGTACATTGTCTATGGATACGCTGGAACATTAACTCTTCACCACCCTACGCTAACTTTTCACCACCCTAGGCCTATAGCGTCATGTACATTGTCTATGGATAAGCTGGAATATTAACTCCCCATAGGAAAGTGAAAAGTATGCCGCAGACCTGCCGCAGACCTGCCGCAGATCTGCCGCAG